TTTGTTTGCAACGGCTTCCAGTCTGACTTCAGGTATTCTATAGGGCTTTACATTTACACAGACACCCCACTCCATAATTATGTCATGCTGTGTACCTGTGGTATGTGTGGTCAGTTTGAGTAGGTGAGAGAAAAAGTGTCTATTCTTTCTCACGAACTCTTTTCTGGTTTTCTTCTCCCTGGCTCGTGGACCTTACAGTATTGTTTACTCCCCCTACTCTTTCCATAATTTCAAAAGGGACCTTGCCACTTTTCTAATTTACTCTCAACTGTAGGGACTAGTACCAGCACTATCTCCACGGTTGAAGGTATGGCTCTTAGCACTCCGATTATAAACTCTTTTCTGTGCCTCCTGGACTTGTTCCGTATGTTCCCATCTGAACGTCATGACAGCCCCGATTCTATCCTGAATCAGCGAGATATGCTTGAGGACACCTCTATAGGGCGTGGTCTCTCCTTCCCACGTTTCTTTAGCAACATCTAGAAATCCCTTGGGTTGTCTACCATACAGTAGTTCAAAAGGTGAATAACCTGTAGATGCAAACATGACCGATGACAATAAAAAAATACCAATTTCTCCTTTGTTCACCACTTTTTTTTTTTTTTTTTTTAACATGTTCTTGAGTGTCTTGTTAAATCTCTCCACAAGATAATCAGATTGAAGGTGGTAGAGGTAAGGAGATGGGAGCTTTTGGACAATTTACACAACTCCTTAGTAACTCTGAACATAGATGGTGTGCCCTGATCTGTTAAGATTTTTTTTGGCATACCCATGCGATTAACACCTGGATGAGCTCTGTCTGGGTGCTGATAGTCCTGGGCAGACTGCTTCCACCAAATCCATGCAAATTCTTTCAAAAGGCACTTCAACAGTAAATTACCAGCAGACTGCAAAAATGAGGCAGTGGTACAGAATACTGATACTGACATTCTGGGCATGACTCAATATTCTTTAACATCTGTTTGTAAACCAGGCCAAGGGAATCTCTGGGTTATTCACTCCTTAGTTGTTTCTATACCCAGATATCCACCCTTTATAGGACCATGGGCTAAATCTAATATCATCCAGTGATATGGTTTTGGGACCACTAGCTATTCTACTACCTCCTCCCCTTGCTTTACCAATTGATACAGCAAGTTATTTTTAAGAGCCATGTAGGGAAAATACACCCCATCACTAGGCATAACCTCATGTATCATTTGAACGTTTCTCTGGCTCTAGTAAGGGTTGGAATCTTTCAGCTGTTCCATACAAAAATCATCTTGTATGACTTTTACACCTACCACCATTCTATCCATTATCATTATTAGTCAGAGATAATTTATTGTTCAGCATTCTCAAGCTGGAAGTTGGATTCCAGCTCCTCCTGTTCCCCAGCCATTACAGAGAAAGCAAAAGTATCTACCCTTTCCTTGGACACACCAACAGTTTCCCTTCCACTTAGCAATCAAAAGGGTCAGGCGTGAGTTCAGGTGTTTCACATAGCAGGAGCCATGGCCTCCTGACTCCTTTTGTTTCCCACAAGCTCCAATAATGGGGAAAATCTCTCCCCACTTTAGCTTCAAGAAGCAGTGAAGGTACCACTCCCACTGAATGGGTCACTAAGCCCTAGGGAGTACACATGGAGCTTGTGGGTAACACTCCTGATGCAGATCCTCCTCTCCACCAAAGAAGGGGGGGCTGTTGGCAGTTTTTGCACTGTGACATAGACTAGGTGTGGAGTCATATCTGCCCACGTGAGACATTTAACTCACTGGCCATCCTGGTCCAGGATGGGGCTGTTGCAGCTGACCCAATGTGCAGCTAGAGGACCGCAAGCACTCATTGGCCAGACTGGGGTGACCACTGGATCTAAATGGTCCAGCCCGTCACCTAGCCTGGCTTTTGATTGAATATCTCTGAAGGAAAAAAATCCCAGGAAAAAAGAAAAAATTAATGGCTATGGAACCATAGGCCCCAGCAGGGAACTAAGCCCATATTCCTAAAACTCTAGACAGAAATAACTGGGCTGCCTATAGCAGAAAGGGGGTTTATACCAGCTAGGCCTGCCCATAGGAGTTCTTTTTCTGCCTAGTGTCCTATTCCTGTAGGTGGATTAAACCCTACGGTCAAGTAAGAAGAGCTGTATCCATCAATGAACACAAAAGAAAGATAATTTATGGAATTTTTTCAAAGAGCAGCATATAGATAGAATTTAATATATTTTTATTTTATATTATTGTTATTCACTTTGAAGTATATGTTTTAATATAGGAGTAATACACTTTTTATCCTGTTCAGCATGGGATAACTAGTACTGTTTGTTAAAGGAAGGGAGAAATAGATCTGCTGCAGGTTTACAAAAAAAGGATAAAAAAAAAAAAAAAAAAAAAAAAAAGGTAGGATCCTTGCCCCCTGATGAAAAAGGTATTGTGACCTTCAAAACGTATTGGGTTAAGGTGGGAGCCAAGTTTTTATCAACAGAAAGGACAGCAACTCGTTGGATTCCGTACTGGACGTTACCAGTGGAGAGTTGGCCTCATTCTGAATGTATTAACTGCTGTACATTTGTGAGTAGTATTTTATTGTTAATAAAGCTCATTTATGTTTTTTTTCTACATAAGGAGAAGCAATTTTTTCTAGCTGCCTCTAAGAAGAGCATAAGTTCAGGAATAAGGGTGGAAGAACATAAGTGACATTGGGGAGGCAGGTCCATGCAGAGCAGGGGGAGGAGCACTGGATGATTGCAGACATTGAGGCTTGGTCAAATACCTGTAGCTGGAAGAGGGATTAGGGAAGGGTTTTGGAGAGCAGGAAGCCAACACAGTGTAGATCACCCTTACAGAGGTTTGGATCACAGGGAGCAAGGACTTTATCAAAGACTGAGTGTGGTTGGTTTTTTGGACATTTCTATTGCGGAACTGTTATGTGCTCTATTACAATATGTGTCAAATCTGTCCAGCAGTGAACAATAGGAGTAGTAATAGGAAGAGGCCTGTGTTAAGGCTAATTCCAATAAGGCAATTTCAGACTCTCTGGGTGTGTTCTTGTACATGCAAAGCTGAATGGGTGTATGATCTGCTATTTATATTCAGAGGAGAAAGGGAATTAAGGAGTGTGGTCGTCTTTGTATTTATGAATATTCCGGATACATATAATCAGTGTAAAGCAAATATAACAAATATGTCTCATACTTGCTATGGGGCTTTAGTTATGGTTCAATAAACTGTGTTACCCTGTGTTACCTAACCATGTTGCTGAACCCTACATAGGCTCCAGCCCTCACAGTGTGCATACCTCCAAAGGATCTTCAGGATCAGGGTTCCATAGGGATGGACCATGGCCCCAAACCTGTATAGCACCCTTGATGCTAACTACACATTTTTCAGCAAGTGATTAGGTGAGTGTCCAAGCAGGTTTCAGTGCCTGGAGCAACATTAACCTCCTTGGCGGTATGATTCTTTCCGATTTTTTGTGCTGAAAGTGGTACCATTTTTTTGCATGGAAATGTGTAGTTTTTTACTGTAGGCTGTAATTTTTAGGAATAACTCACTGAAATCTGTACGAACAAGAGTCTATTAAACATTCCGGATAAGATAAAATTTGAAACACAAAATCATAAATTATAATTTAATAAATAATCATAAAAAATAATAATATAATAATAATAAATTTAATTCAACAATATAATCAAACCAAAAACACTGAAATTTGAAATACAGAGGCAAATTCGCACATCACTGAGCAAAGTCGCAAAATCGTTTTCAGTGTGAAGATGAATTTCCCCACGAATCATTATCACTCAATTCTGCAAGTGGTTCTGATTTACTATCACTGTTCTAAAACCGCTTTTGACGTAAAGGGACGCTTTTTGGACGCCATGGACTTTTCTAAGTTTCCAGGCAGAAAGAACATTCAAAATGCAGGCAGGGCACAGGACAAAGCAGTAGGGCCAAAATATATGTGAAATGCATTGAAACAACAATGACAGCAAAAATGAAATTTTTTGAAAATTTCAAATTTCCCGCCGGCGCCCGTATGTCCCAACGTCACAGGGACCGGAACACAGAAGCCGGATGCCGGCATCGGCCGGAGGAGATGGCCGGGGACGCTGCAGGGGACACATCGTGGGAGCGAAGGACAAGATAAGTGCTGCAGGGACCCCCAGAGCAGCGCCGCATGGTAAGCAAGAGTGTAGCTCGGGTTTACCACTTTTGGTATAGAAATTTTACCCCGAGCTACACTCGGGATTACCGCTAAGGAGGTTAAAGGCTGTTGCCACAATGTGGGGTCCTGCTTTCAACATCCAGGGTTTTACCAAGGTTGCACTGATCCTGATGCACTGCTTCCATTGTTGTAGTAGAAGACAGTGAAGATTCAACAATCAATTAAATAAACTTAATAACATACTAGTTAACAAAGAGTGATTTATCTATAAAAGGTAGAAAATACCCATCATCCATTATGACACTAGCAAAATACTAAGGATTCACAGATTAAGATAGGGGCGTGTCCTCAAAATTTGTCAGCATTTATCACCCAAAGGTTTCAGCCATAAGCTAGGATCTATGAGTATCAGGGCAATGTCTGGCACTGTATGATTAAGATAAAGTGGGTGATTTACTAAAACTGGTGCACACAGAATCTGGTGCAGCTCTGCATAGTAACCAATCAGCTTCCAAATTTTACTATCAAAGCTTAATTGAACAAGTTAGAAGCTGATTGGTTACCATGCACACTGCACTAGATGCTGAGTTTAGTAGTATGTACAGGGTCTATAGTGAGAGCCAAAATTCATCATCATGTACTGGTCTGGTGTCAGTAAATTATGTAAATTATTACTGCACTTAATAAGAATCCTTAATTGAATATAGCCCTTTATGCTTTTAGTATAAACAAAGCAAGACACCCCCCCCCCCTCACAAACATCAATGTGCATGTACAACACAAAATTCAGTGGCTGCAGCCTTGCTCCTGTTCCAATTATTAACACTAATATTTCTATCTACACAATACTTACCAAATGTAAGTTTCTGGAACAAACAACAGCACACTTCTTGAACTTTCTCACTGTTTGGAAATGTTTTCATAGCTTCCATTATGATATTGTAGCATCTTACATTACCAGACATAAGTACTTCCACATTGCTAGCTGTAATAGAAAGATGTGAAAGCTACAATTGTATGTACATCTTAGGACATTCTTTATATAACTTAAATTATGACACAATGATCAGTTAGTTATATTGTAATGAAATAGACCATATGAACATAGTACTTATGGCTCATGCACATTGCAGCTCAAATGTAAAGGCCAAAAATAAGCTTAAAGAAGCCCACGCTAAATACGGGCATGTTTGTGCACTTTTGCACATTTTTATTGCACGCCTTTGCGTGTTTTTGTGTGCTATTGCACAAATGAGGGGGGGGGGGGTCCTCCCCTCAGCTCATTTTTCACTCCCAAATGTAAATGATGGAAATAAAATCTAACTTTTGTTGACATATTATAAGAATGTCTAATCTGTAATTTGATGCCTTTTGGAGATTTTTCCATCTTTCCTTGGCTTCTTTATGCACATTAATACAAATTTTTAGCTGGGGTGCCCAAACTTTCGATCCCCACTGTATAGCTTCATCTATGTAGCAAAGGCCTGCCTGATTGGACACAAATTAAAAGAGTTTAACTTTGACCTAATATTATATTTGTTTGGTAAATCTAAAGGGAATTTGTGCAAGAAATTTGTATAATGCATGGCCTGCTAAAGACATATATATGACACACTCGTTTGTTAAACCACATACTAATCAATCATTAAATTTCAACCAAAACATTGTGCAAGTTACAGATGTAGAATACTTTCTTGATGGAGCAGTGCATTCAATAGTCACCTGTCTCTGTAGGAATCCATTCACAATGGCTTGCACCACACATACACTGTACTGTAGTTGCCAGTGCACATCTGTGCACCACACTGCAAATACCGTGTATTGTAGTGTGGCGCATCATAAAAAGGTGAACATATGTTAATCAGTGCACTTGAGGCTTGTTGGCAGCCTCTTTTGCATGAATGGGCTGCCTAACATAAATCATGCTAATGCACTGCAATAAACAATATACATATGAATTGGCTCTTACTGTCCTCATATGCTGTAGTGAGTTGTCATAAGGAAATGGGTAAGAGAAAACATTTTTGCAACATCCAGCTACAAAGTATGTCAACATACAATCCCAATAAAAATAAACAGATGACATATCTTACCATTTGCTGAGTGCAACAATTAGTCTTAGTCCAGAAAGTATGCACAACTGAACCTTTCATTAAACCCTGCAAACCAATCACTGGAGCACAGAAACAATCCTTTTTCCTGCACACATGGAACTTTGAAGTGTATCTGCCAAATAACCTTAATCATAGCTTGTTGTAGCAACATAATATAACTTTCCACTTGAGGAAGGGTAACAATCGGACCAATAAACAAAGCAACAGACGTGGAAATATGGGGAGTGGATATCAACACAGGGATGGATGTGAAAACAAAATATCCAAATAAGAGGAATTTTGACTTAAACATGTCTTGTACTGTACTCCAAGATATTAAAATTACAGGTGAGTATTCACAGACCCTGGGTTATAGGCTCATACCTTCAGGTGATTGGACACACCTCAAAATTAATCTCAGATTAGCCATACAGTAAAGGACACAGGTTGAGTATATATAGAACCTGGGATGTCCCCGAGCAATGAATGGGAAGTGGGCAACTACTAGGCAAAAAAAAAAAAAAAAAACCTGCCAACAGACCCAACATCAGGGTACTGCTGCAGGAACCATGTGGCCAAAAGCTGCATCTGCAAAAAAGAGGCCTGGTGCCGGAATGTCCATAGACCTGGTGGGCATGTAAGAGGACAGGCGGAGATCTGTCCTTCAGAGTGTGAGCTCTAGTAATCAGATGTCTTTCTTAGAGCAATGGTGGACTTGGAAGAAGGTTGTTCCTTGACAGAACCTGAGGTCAGGACAAATAGGAAATCTGTCTGTCAAAACTGTTGCTTTGTAGTAGACTGACTACTTCCAAGCAATGGAGAACAATTTCCTTTGGTTGTTTTGGAGCAGGGCATACGGATGGCAGGACTAAGACTACAATAAGGTGAAAGAATGATACTACCGTGGGAAGGTAGGATGGTCTTGGGTGAAGACTGCCTTGTGAAGAACGAGGAAGACAGCTACCAGCTTAAAGACACGTCTGACAGATGTGATAACAACCAAAAAGGCCACTTTGTAGGCTAGGTCGTCTAAGCAAAATATCCCTGATGGGTTTAAAGGGGGGTTTCTGCAGATGAGAGAAAACCAAGTTGAGATCCCACATGGTGCTGCAAGGGGGGCTTGAAGCAAGATACTAAAGGTTTTGAAAAACAAGAGCAAAACCAGGAGGTTTTTGAAAAAAAAAAAAAGTGAAACCTGTCCTATCAGAGTGATTAAGGCTGAGTTCTGGTCAAGACTTAACTGTAGGAAGGCCAGAATGCAAGGAACAGAATAATTCCTGGGATTGAAGTGCTAATGTTCATAAGCAAAAAAAAAAAAAAAAGTATTTCCAAGTATGCAAGTATAATATTGCATCTTTCTAGAAGTGGCTTTTCTTGACTTTAGCGAGGTGGAAATGATAGATTTATTGACTGAAACCTGGGTTTCAACAGCCATGCTGTTAAAGCCAGAGACTGAAAAACAAAATGAAAAAAGACGGCCCTGAGATAGGTCACTATTGGGAAAAGGCTAAGAGTTGTCATCTAGTAGACTGATTAGGTCTGTGTACCAGGTTCTTCTGAGCTAGTTTGGTGAGATGAAAATCAATATCCTCTTCTCTTGCTCTATCTTGTGGAGCAAACAAGGTAGAAGTCTCACTGGGGGAAGGCACAGATTAGCCTTAATTAAGAACAGGGGATTATCAAGGCATCTTATGCCAGTGCCAGAATATCCTTAGTCCTGGCCACAAACAGTTAGTTTGTGGTTGAATCTGGAGGCCAGGATATCCACATCCAGGATCCCCAAATTCGACATATCAGGGTGAAGATGTCTGGATCTAAAGGGTCCATCCCCCTTGATCCAGGTGGTGGTGGTCAGGGTAATCCACTTTGCAGTTGTCCACTCCTGGGATGTGGACCTCCAATTGCTGGATGGTGAGTCTCTGTCCATAAGATTATCTGGCTTGCTTCCTACAAGGCTACATGACTCCTGGTGCCCCCCTAAATGGATGATGTAGGCCACACTCATGGCATTGTCTGACTGTACCCAGATTGTGTCCTTGCAGAAGGAGGGGGGCCAAGTTAAGGAATTCCTTGCTAGGCTGGACAGGAGAATGAGTAGGTTGCGAGGAGAAACATGCTTGTTCTACGTCAACAAGCTGTTGCTTTGGGGACACTTTGGACTACTTTCCAAAAATGGGTCATTTGGGGAGGTTTGGTGCTATCCTGGCATCTCAGGGCCTCCAAAACTGTGATAGGTAGTCAGGAAGTGTAATAAGGAAATTAAGCCCTTCAAAAGCCTGAAGATGCTTATTAGATTTTGGGATCCAGTACTTGGCTAGACTACCAAAAACGTCTCTCACATGTGGTACCCTCATACACGGGAGAAGTAGCAGAAAGTATTTTTGGGAGTAACTCCACATATACCCATGGCATGTGTGAGCAGTAAATCATTTACGTGACAATTTTGTGTAAAAAAATAAAAATAAAAAATATGTTGTTTTTGTCATGGGTATATGAGGAGTTACTCCCAAAAATACATTGATTTAACATACCTCCCAGCAAATAGTTTGGGGGCATTATGCCTAGCATTCGAAGTTTATGCCACACATCACTCACTCTAACCACCTGAAGATCAAGCCTTTTCTGACACATTTTGTTCACATGAAAAAAATCAGTACTTTTTGCTAGGAAATTAATTGAAACCCCCAAACATTATATATTTTGGCAGGTGCAACAATTTTTATGTCACATAGTACTTGCGCAGAGATTTTTCAAAAGCAAATTCAAAAAAAAAAAAAAAAAAACAAATAATACACACTTTTTTTACTTTTTATGCACAAAAACACAATATATTGGCCAATTATTTGGTAAAATATAAAAGATGATGGTATACCAAGTAAACAGATACCAAACATGACATGATTTAAAACTGCAATGGCGACAAACTGCATACATTTTTAATATCCATAGGCAATGTTTTAAAAGGCTTTACAAGCTACCATTGTAGATTTACAGAGGTCTAGTGTTAGAATTACTGCCCTTGATCGGACGTTCAGGGCGATACTTCACATGCATGGTGCAACCATTGTTTACATACCGACACAGGGTCAACGCTACCTTACACAGGTGTGCACGCGTGGAGGGACGAGGGTGCTTTTTTTTTCCCTTTCATTTATTTTGATTTTTTAATTATTTTTACACTGTCCCTTTCATTTTTTGTGATCCCTTTTAATGCAATCACAGAGAATGCAAATATCCCCTACAACTTCAATGGGCATTGTCATATATTCTTTTTTGAGAAATATGGGGTCTATCAGACTCTAGATATCTCCTCTGCCCTTACATTATCTAATCAAGCCAAAATTGGTGTGATCCGACGCTTTCCCAATTTACAAATGGCGCTGTTTATATCCTGCAAAACTGAAGTGATGAAATGCTCGTAGCTTCCGATTTCTTAGACTATAGAGATGATTGGCACCATTCTGGTCTCCAATCAGCTTTATGATCAGCTGGCAGAAATACCGGCTGCATTCTCAGGTTCCACTGATGGCACGGGACTGCCCGAGAAGGCTGTGGAAGGCAGCGGGGGGGGGGGGGGGGGCATCATCTCACACTGCTTGTGAAAGAAATCCTTCAGCTAATTAGCCACTAGGATTACTTTTACATGAAAGCTGAGTGCCGGCTTAAAAAAATTATACCAGGATGATGCCTGCAGCTGTAGGCATCATCCTGGTATAACCATTCAAAGTCCAGTCTATGTACCAGTACGTTGCTGATCCTTGTTGGGTATATATGCTATGTTCTCTTTTTTTGTATGCAGCCTGTGGACTGAATGAAAAACAGAAAAAAAAAAAGTGTGTGGTATGCCCACCATTAGAATATACTGCCCTGCATCCACCCACTTCTAATGGTG